GAGAGAGAGAGAGAGATACGGAGACAAGCAGATGGACAAACCAAGAAGGAAGAGATAAATGATGATACGCTGGACATAGCTTTCATCAGTTATAATTGGTTAGATTTATATCCTTGAAAATGAATTACAAATATTTGTCATTATGTCATCGTCCAATTTCTATCCTACTCACGCAATTCTGCAGTGGACAAGTCTCAAACTTTCTGACTCAGTTTTTGTTTGTTTCTTATTCTTTTTTTACAAGAAAATATAACAATGGTGTAGATAATCGATTAGATATTGTTGAAGGGCTTGTATATTTCATAGAGGTGGACATAAATTGTCCTAGAAATTAAAACTACCTATAAATTAATTTTAAATGTGTACTTGGTCATGTAGTCATGATCACCCCTATCTGCTACAGCTGAAGATGGCATAAATCCCGAACTTGTACACCCAGCAAAGGCTGCCAGGGCATACAAACTTGTTGATCACGCCATATTTGGTGGCTTGCAGCAAGTGAAGAGAATAAAATAGGAACTGTCCAGATTCTGGACTACAGGTGATGTCAGTTTTATCTAAGATTTTTCACTTTTGACATTTTCAGCAAAATCACCAACAATATTAAAATACTACAAACTTTAATGGGGCTCAAGACTTTGCAAAGTTTGTGGGTGATCCAGATTTGTGAAAGTCTCATACCGGTATTGCAATTCAATTTTTTTAAAGACGATTACAAAGTTTCAGAAGACTAAATTTTCTTGCCATTAAAATATCCGCTATCAACAATTTGCAAAGGTTTCAGAAGGCAAAAGTCTATGGTTTACACATGAGCCTGAAAAGTAATTGCATTATAATCTGAAGAAGAATACATCAGGTTGAATCTATGCCCTTATGGTTCTGCACCGAGCAACATATACACTGTACTTGAATGTCTACAAATTGCATTTAGCCAGAATGGGTCATATTTCACTTGAACCAGACTGCACCCATATACTATACACTGTAGGTGCAATCAAGCTTAATTAAATTTGTTTCTTAAAAGGAATCATGCAGCTCCTCTTCAATATCTCCAATTGCAAATACAAGTTGCACTGCACTAAAAAAAACATGAAGAGGTTTCACACACAAGAATCTTTGGCTTGACATTGCAATGCACTTGCTCTACAAGAAAAACAAATTACGATCCACCAAAATAATCCATTTCCTTTTTTGCGCATCAAATATCCACTCCCACCCAAGACGGGTTCGTGTAGGAAGTTTCTATTTTGGTTTTTCTTTTTATTACACGAGTACGGACCATAGACGAAATTCGTCAGCGTCATGGCTTCTCAAATGACATGGCTGCTGTAATGTTCTTCTAGAAACACGTATAGTTCATGACCGAATCTATACATAACAGTTTCTTCTTTTCTTTTACTGATCAAAACACTGATAAGCATTTTTTACGTTCCAACCCTTTTTCTTCTGCGGCACTCCCAACTTACTTCGGACTTTCCCTCCTCCTCCCTTCCTTTGCTCGGCTCTTATTTCTTAGGTCTACAAGTTTTCTATATTTTATGAACTTGCTGACACCTTTCAGGCACAGCTTGTCAAGACTGCCCTGGATATTATAATGTGTATACTTTTGTTTCAATATCACTTTATTAACATAGGAAGTATAAACCATTACACAGAAGATACTACCAAAAAATAGTATTTAAAAGTAGAAAAGAGATTATCATCTTCGAAACCATTGAGGACCACTGAATATCTACAATACAAGTATCTCTTCGACACCCCCCCCCCCCCCCAATTTGGGCCATCAATGTAAAATACAGGCAGTTCTCTCCATTCATAATCAAAAAACATTTTTAAAGAATGAAATTACATATAGATATACTGATCTAAAATATGATCTGCCATAATTAAATGTTTGTAAATGTACTTGGTCTGCTTCTCACATTTAGCATTTAAGTACAGTTCTATAAAGTTAGAGTATTGTAAGAGAACCCAGAAATAAAATGCTGAATGAAATCCAAAGAAATTGATATTTGCAGACAGAATAAAGGCAATTTCCTGCTTTCTTTTCCCACATTTACCTGGTAGTAATTCACAAACTTTTCTGTAGTGGAAAGCCAGATAAACTACATGTTTTAATAGACAATCCAATGGTATTTTAAGACTCAATACTGAAAGTGTGACCTTTAAAAAGTACCTTTCACAATACACCGAGAGTGTTGAGATTACCCGAGCATTTAAAAAGATATCATGTTCAGGATGACTTCACCAAAAAAAAATCACAAGATAATATATTGCCTGCCCCAATCACAACAGATGTTCACTTCCTACAATGATCTTTTCCTTTCCTGCATGAGCAAGAAAGAAACTTATTTTCTCTCTTCCACTCAGACTTTCACAATTTCATCAATTTCCTAAAACAACAGCAGGAACAGGCCTGGGCAAGTCACATGGTCCATGTATGTACAGTATGTTGCAAAAGCATGTATAATAATACATACATAATTGATTGGTTGCATTACAAATTTGTAGACACTTATAGACACAATTAGAAATTATTATTATCCATGGTGGAAGGGGGGTGGGGAGTTGTTTCAGTGTGTTGAACGATTACCAGGACTTGCGAAGGTTTACAAAATAAGGAGTTTTTATATGTCTTTCTTGTTTTACCCCGACCACCCCAAAAGATACTGCATTTGGATAGCTTTTAGTCTGGTGCCAGATATTACTTTAAACTTAAAAGTTTAAACAAGTTTAAAGGTACAGCATTAATTTAATTTTAAAATTGTTGAAGAATAAAAGGTTAATAAATGGCTAAAAAATGTTTATTTTTAAAGTGATACACACTTGCCCTATTTTAGTCCTGACATGTATGCACATGTACATATATAATATTCAAACTCTCATCATTTACTACTTGATCAAATATAATACAAAGAATGTATTCAACTTTTTAAGAAAGTATGCAAGTAGTACTCAAGATATCTTTCAGGTAGACAGGTGATCAATCTCACCGAATTTTTCATAATAACTTTCAAGGTATGAACAGAACAAGCAACCCTCTTTGATAGACTATTGGGGGGGGGGGGGGGGGTGGTTCAATTAATGCTTTCCTTCTTTAATTAAATAAACCTCCACGCTTCCTTTCCTGTAAACAAAACACTATCCTCATGCAGTCAACCTGTTGTCAGGGCTTCCTTTTCTCTTCACATACATGTGCACCCGAGCCCAAAGGAGTTCATAAACATTACAATGCTGACTGCATGAGTCCATTATTATCCATTAAAGTGTTTATTGACCACTAAGACCAGACGGTCTCAGAACTTTGCAAAGTTTTTATTGCATAGTTAAACGTAAAGTAAGGAAGGGTGATCATTGTTAAAAGTGTGTTTCATGAGACTTCTATTATTCTGTGACAAATCAAGAAGATTGGCGAAGACTAATACTCTGTATACAATGTACAAGAATTATTACGATGTACAATAATACGCTTCTATGTGCATGAAATTTCTAAAGGATTTATTTTCCTTGGTAACGGTTTAAATGCCTGCATTTCTTGGCATGTGTTTGGACTACAGCTGTAGAGGACATTATACAGGATCTATCATCAAAAGACAACTGCTCTCTTGATAATAATATTTTAGTGCTGTATCATTTTGCATATTTACGAAAAAGGGGTTTCAAAGTCAGTCTATGGTTAATCTTCAAAGTTTAAAACATCCCCATGAAAGCAATATAGTACATTTACTCATGAAATATTAGTACAGATGTACTAATATTTATTGATACATCATAGGTTTCTTTCTTGGTGCTGGCATACATCACTTTTATTCTCTTGGTAATCTTCAAAATATTATTCCCATGAAAGAGATACTAAATATTTACTAATGAAATAGTAGTATCAATATGCTAATATGTATTGATATATTATTGTTTTGTTTCTTGGTGCTAAAATACATCATTTTTATCACTACCGTCTACCGGGTATTGTTACTGTTGAAATTTATTAGGGGAAAATGTACTTGTCTAGAGTTGTGATCAAAGAAAGTGATCAAGTCAATTACTCACTGTAAATTATCAGAATAGAAGAGTAATACTTTCGTTTCAAATGACATGAAACATGACATCCATGTAGTTGTGGATAACCCCGGCCCCCCCACTCAGAGGTCGGAATGACCGCATGCGTGTTGCCAAAATGTCCGGTAAAGGGGTACTTTTCGTGCGACAAAGTCCGGCCCGAGAATTGTAAAAAAAGGGGTGTATTTGACTTTTCACCCGGAGATTTCTTTAAAAAGGGGGCGTTTTTCTTTTTTTCTCTCATCTCTTTGGACTCCTGAGAAATTATTCCGAATTTAGGGGGGTACATTGAGCATTTTTCCTGATTTAGGGGGGTCTCCAAGGCAGGAAAAGCCCGCGGAAAGCCCGCAAAAGGGGGGTTCGGAAATGTTGGCAGTCCTCAGATAGGGGGTGCTTTCAAAAAGAGGGTACGAGCATATGCGTACCCTAAATAACACTGAGTGGGGGGGCCGGGTGGATAACTCCTGTATCCGTGTCATGTACAAAATACATGTAATCATTTACAGTATTTCTGTTTTACTCCTAAGTGCCATCTCCCTTGGGGCACTAATTTTTGAAAAATTGAGATTTGAGTCATTCTGTGTATTGGAACAAAGGGAGAGTTGTCCCCCACTACATCACAGAGACGTTACTGATTCAGCCAATTTGAAGTGCCCATACAAATACAGTGTACATTGAATTACCAATTTAAACAATTCATAACTTTCTCATTGTTTGTCCAATTTCTTTCAAACTTGCACCGGTCTATTTCCCCAATTTTTCTGCTTTCCTCTATTAAAAGTACATGTAGTTTCTATCAAGATTGGACTTCCCTTTAACTGTAAAATACGTAATCACCTAGTAATCCAAATGTCGTTTACATGTATACAAGTAGATTGACTTGTGTAATTTAGTGAGCAAAATGTATGACTTTACCACAAAAATAACGTAAATAGCAAACTTACCCAAGGAAAATATGGTTCTGATATTGTGCAACGTAGAGAATGTGCCTACCATACTCATGTGATCATTCAATCAGTTATGATATCAGAATCGAATATAGATTTATTGATTTTACAGACTTCCTTGACGTCTGCCGCACAATACTTGATGGTTTCCTGAGTGGTTTCCCCTTAAAAGTTCAAAGACCGTTTACAACAACTCCATCATAAAGTAACATTATAACTCATTCAGTTGGAGTCAATGAAGGAAGTATGAGGAGAAAATACAATTTTCCCTGTAACTCAAGAAGAGAATTTCAAAATTCCCCCACAGGCTTCTCACAACTTTCCAAAAATGAAAACATACATGTTGTCAGTTGGACTGTAGAGGTTACAACTACATGTAGGCAATCACAACAAATTCCATGCAGATCGAGACTTGCCTCTTTAGCTAAACATTGAAGCAAGAGTATAGCTCTAGTCTGTTAAACTGCAGTGCCTGTCGCAAAATACAATCACACCAAAACTTTGCATGAAGAATTGTCTGGTTAGCAAAATAAATTGGACAATAGCCTAAATGTTGTGAAACAAATTAAACAAGTGTTGCTTATATGCACAGTGTACAGTATAGACATGAAGCTCCGAAGTCGGCAGAAAGTTCAACAGGAGTAGTGCAAGCGACTGCAGTCTGCAGCACGTGTGACTGTCGCAGCTAGCTTACGACTCACCGCAAGTAGAACAGCGGTTTTAATAGGGTAATGCCTTAAATGCGGACAGTCCTCCCAGACTTAAGCGAACTGTTCCTCCCCTCTCCCCTCTTTCTACTCTCTCCCTCCCTCTCTATCTCTCTCCCTCTCTTTCACTCATACACTTCCTCTTGCTCTCGCTCTCTCTATCTCTCTTTCTCTTTCACTCACACGTTCACTCTTGCTCTTTATCTCTCGCTCTCTCTTTCATTTCTCCATCTCTTTCTCTCTCTTTCACTCATACACTTACTCTAGCTCTCTCTCTCTCTCTCTCTCTCTTTCAGTCACACGTTCACTCTTGCTCTTTATCTCTCACTCTCTCTCTTTCAATTCTCTTTCTCCATCTCTTTCTCTCTCTTTCACTCACACACTTACTTTTGCTCTCTCACTCTCTCTCTCTCTCTCTCACTTCCTCTCTCACTCTTGCTCTCTTTCTCTTCCTCTATCTCTTTCTCTCTCTTTCACTCACACACTTACAACGTACTCTTGCTCTCACTCACTCTCTCTCTCTCCCTCTCTTTTTCTCTCTCTACATGCAATCTCTCCCTCCCCTCACTTTCTCTCACTCTTCCTCTCTCAATCTCTCGCTCTCTCTCTCTCTCTCTCTCTCTCTCTCTCTCTCTCTCTTTCTCTCTCATTCACTGGCTGACTCACAGCACACAGACATGACTCCTACTTCGCAAGCATGTAGTAAACTCAAGCTGATGGCACGAGTCATTGCAATGTTGGTGACGGTGCGGTGAGTACCGGTAATTTACATCATGGACGCTCCGACAAGCTCTGCAATTTTCTAACGGGAGATGTAGGACATGACTCTGTACTCTGTAGCGAGTCCGAGAGACCTGGCATATTCCAGAGATTTAATGTATGTATGGACCTACAACAGTACAGTCAAACCTGTCTTTCGTGGTCAGTGCACCTCTCTATAAAGGCCAATATGCAGTCTTTGTCAGAGGCCTTGTCGTCTCCCTCTATGGGAACAAAAATCACTGCTTAGAGAGGTCACTTATGACTTTAATATCTGAAGTAATATTTTTTTCTTCTGATTCCCATAGACAATCCCTCTCAATAGACAGTTGTCACTATCCAGTGAAACCTGTATATAAAGACCACTCAAGGGAAACATGAAAAGTGGTCTTTAAAGGCAGGTACACTGTAGTCTCTATGTACATTTTCTTTAACAAGTTTCAATGAGAAACCATATTCAGGGGAAATGAAAAATGTAGTCTTTGTAGACAGGTGTTCATTCTACACAGCGGGTTGCTGTATTGGAAACTATTTTAGTTCACCCGATACGCTTCTATAATGTTTATCAAGGTACTACACAATTTTTTTTTTTAAATAAATAAAAATGCTAATTGCTAACAACTGATTTTTGTTTTGTGGGGTGGGGATAAGTTTTTTTTTGGATCTTTTTATGGTTAAGTCACATCATGAAAATGTTGCTGTACTGGTAGTGGTAAAGAATGCATGCACAGGAAATTTATAATTATTTAATAAACTTTACAAAGCATGATTTTGACCTTGGAATATCTTTAAATATTACCGGTATGCCCTTACGTGTTCAGAGTTCAGACACATCTTATCTTATACACATACATGTATGTAGGCCTACAAGCAAATGAATAGCACCCTTATATTTTTTTTAAATTTTTTCAACAGATCCCTACTCTTCCTCTCTCTTCTCTCTGTTATCTTCCCTACATGTAGCTTGTCTCCTTTCATTTTTTCATTTTTTGTTTTGTTGGTCTTTATGTTATAATTGGTATATTTGTTTGATTATCAATTTGAAATGCATATATGTTGAACAATTCTTCTTTATATCGATACTGTACATGTAATCTGTTTTGTTCCTTGTCAAAGTCTTTGGACTGTTTTTACAAGGAATTTGCTCTAAATGACTGAAATGAAGGAACAAATGAATGTAAAAAGGCCAGCATGGTTTTACACTGTCATTCCTCCCCCCTAAACAAAAAGTGTGGGGGGGGGGGGGCGAGGACACTGAGACTTTGCATATAACGGACAGGTACATGTAATTGAAAGACAAAATTAAATTTTAAGAAAGTGTCATGCAGCAAAAAACATTGTAACATAAACAAACGTCAATCAAACAAATGCATACAAAATGAATAATGATAGCAGGCATACAAATTTGCAAAGTTTAATATTAACATGTAGTTTTGTGAGTACGACATCAAATTCTCAAAGAGTTCCCACAAAGTCTCTTGAATTTTACCTAAATACTGCACTATAGGAGGTATGCTATTACCGGTACAGTCTTCAAAATACTGAAAGGCATGGCAAGGTTGGATCCAAGTCACTTCTTCACTGTATTAATCAATACCCAAACTTGAAGATATTCCCTAAAGATGGAAAGGTCTCATTTTCACACAAGGAAATGCTTTTTAAGAAATAGAGTGGTGTCCGACTAGAACGGTCTCCCTCAAGGCTCAAGAAGTATTTGACTTAAACAAACTCCATTGATACATTCAAAACAAGATCGGGTAAACAATGGTGGTCTGAACGATTTGATATATGATCAAAACCCTCTCTGCCCTGAGCATGAGTAAAGTAAAAAGACTGCAGAACCTAGCTAACCTTGAATAAAGGACTGTGGATTACAGGATCTACTCTTCATATCATGTTGATGTATACTACTACAGGTAGTAGTAGGGTGTCTGAACGATTTTTCAATTTTCAATTTGGGATCGTTTTTCACCATTTTTGTTTGATATTTGAATAAAAAATGTTATCAGAATAATACATTTCAAATTTCAAGTCTCACCAATGTTTCTATCAAAAGTTACAGCCCCTCCAAAACGCTGGTATATTCATATCATTTTGGTCAACATCGACGAAAAAGACGTCCACGCAGAGTGATGTTGTTTTGCTAAATTCAGACAAACAGCTGTATCGCGCGATATGCAAGCGTATGCATATAGTACGCATGTTGCTAAGCCAATGCGCGACTTGCAGCTTGAGCCACGCTGTCTCCGCGATATGTGCCATTGACTAGTATGGGTGGCCGTTCGCGCCGTAGAACCCGGAAGTGAATACACGTTGTAGTCAATGGCAATATCGCGGAGACAACGCACGTTGTCTCCGCGATATTGCCATTGACTATAACGTGTATTCACTTCCGGGTTTATCGCGCGAATGGCCAACCACAATTTCATTCACTATAATTTGTAACTGAATGTGGGGTTTCGTTCGTACGCGGAGATTTTACGCGATGTAACCATGATTTGGACTGAGTGGAGCGCACGCCCCCTAATTAGCTGATCCACCAAATAGCAAGAAGGGTATTTTTAAACTGTTATCAGTTGTGATCCCTGGGGGGCTAGCGAAAAATATAAGCACATAGAATTGTTCCTTAGGACTGGGACTACTTATAGATCGGGGCGTCATATCTCAAAAGTGACAAACCTCAGAGTTAGCCAGGACACAATGTTTAAATTGCTGTTTTGACCAAGATATTTTTAGAATTTCGGGGGCTATGCCCCTTTGGAAATATTGGAATTCACCTGCTCTTTCATATGACACCTCATTTATTGATTATCACAGATAAAGGTTTGAATCTAGAATTGAAAAAAAAAAATTGACTTTTTTGCATGGTCGCGCAATGTACGTAGACTGCATAGGGATGCGTGTAATCTCTATGGGAAGAATTTTAGCACACAACATCGGGTGCGCGATCAGACACCTACTAGCACCAAATGATCTGGCTTTGGGGGTCTTTCAAAAAATCAACCGTAAATCACTCTTTAAAAAAAAACTTGGTCCACATTGCCCACCTAGGTCTAGACCTATGTCATGCACAAAAAAAATCAGGACTTTACTCTTTTTGTGGCCAATTTCTAAGTTTAAGATCTAGAATCTAGTCTAGATGTAGACCGAAAGCTTCAGTCTCTATACCGTCGGTTGTTCCACTGAGACTACGTCTGGCTCCACTAGACCTCCGGTTATAGAGACAGAACGACTGCCTATGCCAGCCTGTGTTGAACTTATTCCGCTAGATTTTAGCCGCTAGGCCCCTCCCACAAACTTGCCACGGCCGTATTGTTATGCCCCCAAAATCCCCCAAAATGTCATTTTACCTCGTCCATATCCAATTTTAAATTAGGCCTAGGCTATAATACATCGGTTCCACTTACTAATTTGATGTAAATAATCCGTTTAATGGTCCCTTTTAAGGAAATTATGGGTCAAAATCGACATCCATGTTGAAAATCTTGCAAGCCGTGTTAAACTCTCGTTGCCGTCAATCTCATCCCTTCTAGTCTACGCCGAAGGCAAAATGATTATGAAGGAAAAAACTGTGATAACGCCATTACGAACGTGTAGATGGCGCACAGTTTTTCCTTCATTATCATTTTGCCTTCGGCGTAGACTAGAAGGGATGAGATTGACGGCAGCGAGAGTTTAACGGACGGCTTGCAAGATTTTCAGCATGGATGTCGATTTTGACCCATAATTTCCTTAAAAGGGACCATTAAACGGATTATTTACATCAAATTAGTAAGTGGAACCGATGTATTATAGCCTAGGCCTAATTTAAAATTGGATATGGACGAGGTAAAATGACATTTTGGGGGATTTTGGGGGCATAACAATACGGCCGTGGCAAGTTTGTGGGAGGGGCCTAGCGGCTAAAATCTAGCGGAATAAGTTCAACACAGGCTGGCATAGGCAGTCGTTCAGTCTCTATAACCGGAGGTCTAGTGGAGCCAGACGTAGTCTCAGTGGAACAACCGACGATTATAGAGACTGAAGCTTTCGGTCTAGTCTAGATGTAGAATCTAGAAATATTTCTTTATTTGCGAGTTGCAAATTTTGTCTTGGAAATTTGAGTGCTTGGCCGCTAATAAGGTGCTAGATCTGATCTAGTGTGCTGCCTACTCCGATGTACTCGGCTACTGTGACCAAGAAATGTACACGATGAATACGAAGGCTCGAAGCAGCTCTTCAACACAAAATTTTCCTACACACAAAGTATACAAATGCTGCATGCATGTTGTTGTTGTTGTTGTTGTTGGTAAATGTTTTATGGCGTTCATTCAGTATTGAATATATATGCCATAAATATCTTCATG